CGCTTGTGGCTTGATTTTGAATTTTTATTATTTATTTGTGGATTGGAAGATCTTAAATGTATATATATTTTTTTACTTATTTGGTGCATTGTTCTCTTTTTCAAGTCAGATGCGAGTTTCAAACCAAGGATTAAGATTTACGACTCTCTTTGCCGGCGAGAGCCTAATGAAAGACAAATTTTCTGATTTTATTGGCAAACCAAATTTTATGCTAAACGTATATGTATAGTGCTACACTATAAAATATGTTTAAAAAGATAAATATATTCTAATTGTGAAAAGTCACACCATTTTTTCGTTATAATTGTATTTAAAAAAATTTATATTTTTCTGAGCCCATTTATCACAAATATAATTTTGCTATGTACAATTATTTTGTTAAGATAAGGAATTCCGCCGCTAGGTGGCGCAGAGGTTGCATCGCCTGTCCGCGTCGGTCGTTTTTTAACTTTGTTTTTTCCCAGTTTAAAGTGATTTTACTTACAAATTTCCATTTTAATCAATTTATAAATATTCAATTTCACACAAATGAACCGAATTTCGAACGCAAGCCCACAATTTGGGCCAAATTCAACGCTTTCCCGACAGGCATTGCAACCGCTCCACCAGATCCAATATGGCGGCGCAAACAATGGCGACGAGATCAACTTCCTTCGAAGGGAAAATCTCGCCCTGCGACAAGAAAATATACATCTAAAGGTGAATCTGTATGAACTTTCTGACAAATATTCGTCTCTGATAAAATCATTTAAAGAGCAGGAGGCGCGCGCGGAAAATCAGCATTTTCCAACCCCTGGTGAAACTTACGCTTCCCGCGCTGCCATGCCACCGAGGCCACAACAACAACAGCAGCCGCCACGTGGCCAGCCCGCCACCCTGCCACACCCTCAGCGCCCCCCGCAGCGCCCTTCCCAGCAGCCCCGCCGCCAGAAACCCAAATGGACTCCCCTGCCTCTACGAATCGAGGACGACGATGACTACAACATGTTTAGGGCCGAAATGGACGCCATCGAAGAGGGGCAACTGAGAGTGCGGCCAGAGGGAGCAAAGTGCCACATCGAGCACGTCAACGGGGACCTGATGAAGTCCCGCGCGCCTTTCAAAGCCCACGCCATCGCCCGGGACTGCGGGATGTGGCGGGGTTTTGCAAAGCACTACGTCAATGTGCACGGTGCCATCTCAGAAGCTGACAAGATGAAGGCCGGAGACCGCAAGGTCATCAAGGTCACCACCCCGGCCCAGGGCAGCATCCCGGCGACCACCTGGTTGCACACAATCACCAAAGAGACTTCGCCCGAGAAGCTGCACCACACCAAGGGCAAGTTTGTACGGAGCATCCGAGCCGGAGTGGCCGACCTCGCCGCCGTGTGCTCTGAGGATGGAGTGTCCGAACTGGCCATCACACCCATGTGCATGGGCCTGGACCGCATGCCGGCCAGGTGGATGGAGAGGGTGCTCTGGGAGGCCTTCAAGGACCTTGACATCAAAATCACCATCTTCCACCACCCGACACACCGTCGATTTGGCCGCCAGCAACCACCCCGAGACCAGCGCACGCAAAGCAGACAGAGAGCGGAGCAATCGGAGCCCCACGAAGCCATCCCAAACCCGCCTAACCAGGCGCCAACAGATGAGGATTTTGTGCCTGCCCAACAGTAGTTAACCAGCTAAGTGGCCCTTCTTTAAATTTTGGAATGATACTCTGGAATGTTGATGGTCTTAGTGGTACATTGGGACAAATAACAGAGATTGATTTCTTTAAAGATTTTGATCTCCTTTGTTTTGTTGAGACAATGTCACTAAAGAGCATCAATATTACAGGTTATCACTCCCTTAATTTGCCGGCTACAAAAGATAATTTACGTGGGAGACCTGTTCGGGGCATTTCAATTTATTTTAAGCACATTTTCGGAGAACTTAAAAATTCAATTAAAATTAAAGACTGCACTTTGATTGCTTTCTTTCACAATTTTATTGTTGTACTTTGTTATTTTCACCCAGGAATGAATGATGAAGATGTAGAAGATGAAATTTTATCAGCCTTTGAAAATATTCAAAATTTTAAAGATCAAAATATAATTTTATTAGGTGACTTTAATTGTAGATTAGACAAACAGAATTCAAAGGCCGACACACTTTTAAGCTTGACAAATAGATTTGGATTCAAATTATGTAACGACAACACAATTAAAACTTTTGGCATTCCTGGACACGGCAGTGTAATTGATTTAATTTTTATAACAAAAAATTTTAATGTTCAAAATATTAATATTGATCCGTTAATTTCTAATAAAAATCATCACCCAGTTCAATGTAAAATAGCTTTAAAATGTGATGAACTGCCAAAAATAATTGAAAGAAAGCAAGAAAAGCCAGTTTATAAAATTAACCTTCAAACTTTAAAAACACTTGTTGACCAAAATTACGTCGAAATGAAACATTTGCTAGATAGCGACAATATTACGGATTTCTATTTTCATGTCGTTAAAATTATTAAGGACAGCAAACAAACTCCGAGAAAAAGTAACCGTAAGAGTAAACCTTGGTTCGATAAAGATTGTTTTTCACTCAGGTCAGAAATAATTTCAATATATTATCTTCTTATTAATGCAGAGTTTAAAGATCAAATTCTTGTCAACTTTTTCAATCAGAAAAGGAGAGAATACAAAAAGTTAATAAAATCCAAAAAAGTAAATTTTCAACATAAAAAAGAGCAAGAAATTATCGTTGCAGCTGAGAACCAAGCTTATCACTTTCTTCATCAACCAGTTAACGAACAAAATTTAGTGCAAAATCCAATTCCCCTAAATAAATGGGTTGATCATATGAGTAATATTTTAAATTCTGAGAAAATTTTAGAAAATGAAAAGCTCAATTTAATCGCTATGTTGGAAAATTACGATGAGAATATATCACACGAACCATTCAGCATAGCCCATATTGACTTAGTAATAAAATCTTTAAAAAATAAAAAAGCGCCTGGTCCTGATTTACTTTTAAATGAAAATATTAAAACACTTCATGCAGCTGCACCCACCCTCTTTTTTGAATTTTTTAACAAATGCTTATCTTCGGGTGAAATTCCCACTGAGTGGAAAAAGTCACTCATGAAAATTTTATATAAAAATAAAGGTGACATTAATGATGTTAATTCATATCGCGGTATTTGTTTAAGTAATACATTATGTAAATTACTAGATAAATTGCTTGCGCAGAGAATTCTGCAAAAATTTAAAGATTTTATTCCAGAGCAACAATATGGGTTCATGCCAGGAAAATCAACACTCGATGCCATTAAAGATTTTCAATTTAAAATTTATGCTAATATTGGGGATAAGGGACACAAAAAATATGCAGTTTTTATTGATCTTAAAAAAGCCTTCGATCTTTCAAATAGAAAAATTTATTTCCAAAAATTAATCGATAAAAAATTACTCTCTAAAAAAGAACTTTTGCTTTTAGCCACACTATTCGAGATAGATTATATTCAAATAGATGATAAAGTTTCCCTTTCTGAGTTTTTTGTGCAATCAAATGGATTCAAACAGGGTATGTGTTCAAGTCCAATTAGTTTCAACATTTATATTCATGATATACTAAGTGTATTTGAAGGCATCGAAGGAGTTGAATTTCTACTGTATGCAGATGATATGGTTTTCATTAGTGAGAGTTTAGAAAAATTGGAGCAAATAATGACAAAATTTTTAGATTATTGTAAGAAAAATGATATGGAAGTTAACTTTGCCAAAACTAAAATAATAAAATTCACAAATAAGGGTAGGGGGAGAAGAGGGGCCAATGAGAAACTTGTGATAAACGGGTATAATATTGAATTTGTAAATAGTTTTCCTTATTTGGGTGTAACTTTCCAACAATCAGGTGTTTCATTTTCAAAGCATATAATAGAGAGATGTAAAAATTCAATTAGAGCCATGCATTTTGGGGGGAATTTAAGAGATCTCTCATTAAATTGCGCTAAAGCTCTTTTTTCTTTAAAATTTGCTCCCATTGCCACTTACGGGATTGAAACGATATGGCCCTATTTAAAGCAGTGTGATTTTCGTGCTCTTGAGAATTTAATGACCAGATATTATAAAAGAGTTTTGGGACTCAGTAAATTCTCAAGAAGCACCCTGATCTATTATTTGGTTGGGGAAGAACTCTTTGCTAACACAATAAAGAATAAGTTTAATTTACCGAGGACTACAGAACTTGAAAAATTTCAGAAAGAAATTGAAACCCGGAGCCAGCGAGAGTTCGACCCCAAATTCTTCGACACGCAGGCGATGCGCTCAGAGGTCTGGAAGCAGCCACTTTTCAAGACCCGCCACATATACACGAGGTTCGCAGTCCACGGATTTCACCACTTCATTTGTAAAGACAAAACCTTCCATACGGCCCGAGAAGGATGCGTGTGCAAATTATGCGACAAAATCTGCGACCAATACCACCTCGAGAAATGTGAAAACCGAGTGCTTTCCATCAACGACTACGCCCGTATGGGAAAAGACAAAACATGACCTTATAATATGTTATTTAAATTTATAAATTGTTAAAAAAAAAATATTAATTAAAAATAATTTTAATTTTTTTTAATTAATTAAAATTTTAATTTTTATTAAATTTCGCTTTTATAAATTTAAATATTGAAGAATTGTACTCTGATGAGGTATTTTCAATAAACTATATATATATAAAAAGGATTATATTATATGATTAAAATATGTTTTGTAACATAAAATTGGATAATAGCTACTATTATTATTATAAGGAGGTGAGGAACAGCTACAATTTTGTATGGGAATTGCAAAACAACTGAATTGTAATAAAATTTTGTTTTCACCGTATATTTTATATGGCAGTGAATGCGTTGACGTTGGAAATTTCAAAGAATTTTTTGTTCATGGAAAAAATCGGAAAATAATAAACCTATGCGCAATTAAATATTTGCAAGCGGAAACGAAGCGCTCATTCGTTAGGAAGCAACTTTGTGCTTCCAATTAGATGCCACTGGCCACTATAATTGTTGTCCTGAATGCCGAACGTGCAGTGAGCGGACAAACCTTCAACTTTTAAAATGAAACTTTGCCTAATGCTAATTACAGTTTACGTATGTAATTGATCCTTTGTAAAATTTATTACATATTATGAAGGGTGATCCAAAAGTCGAACCTGGCCAAGGTTTACTTAATCCGCCAAGCAATTTGTATAGCAAACATGAGCAAAATGAAAAGGCGCAGTAAGTCAGTATCTCATGCAGTGCTTTTATTATGATTTTTAATTTGTGATTTTAAAGAATGTCGCATTTTAAAATTCTTGTATATTAATTTTCTGCTGTTAATGACATTGTATGGTTTTTAATTTAAAATGCATACTTATGATGTTATTATTGTATTATTTGCCTCTGTTATAGTTCAATAAACACAAATTTAAAACTAATCAGCCTTGGCCAGAATAGGCAAATCACCCAAGTATATTCATTTTTTTCAAAAACATTTTACTCGGTGTTGTTTATACATTTATATTTTAATTTATTTAAAAGGTAATTTACAACACATGTTTCGGCATTAAAATTAAAACATTTTTTCAACAAAATGGACTCCTTTCTCCTCGTTAGTATTAAATATTTATATTTTTCCATTAACTTAATTCATGATTTAGGTAAAACTCGCGAGAATAGGAAATTGCGTCGGGACATAATTGTATCTTGCTGCGGAATAAAAAAATGTAGCAAACATTTTAGGAACTTGACACAACCTGTCACATTAATTTCTGTGGACAAAACGGCAAAATCAAAAGATCTGAAAGAAATTTCACCAATAACAGTAAAAATTCTGACTATTTCACGCTCCTAATAAATTTTTAAGCAGAAGGTTATTTCTCATTTCGACACAACTAATTTGGACCATGTATCTATTTCAACGACTGATCTTAATAAAAACGCTGCATCGTCTGATACTGGCATTGACAATAATATTATGATTGATCTTACAACTGGTACTCTGGAATTATCAACGTCAATTGCAGGTTATCTAAGTGGTATTCCCGGACAAACCGCTTGTAAAATATAGAAAAAGATTAATATATATGTGACATTAATGTACTAATATAGCATTCACAAATGAGCCATCTGCACTTGAAACCGCCAGCATTGTGAGCAGCACACAATCTGACCAAACAGGATCTATTTCAAAAAGCTTTGTCACTGGTCCTGGGCTTATAGCAACGTCAAGCACAATTATGGGAACAAATGCCACAAATTCTGTGGTGACATTAAATGCGGCAACAGCAGATTCAAATACGGTTTCTGAATCTCTTAAATCAACCTTCTCAAATCCGGGAACTGCGCAATTGATATCTCAGACGACCTTAAAAACTTCCCAAGCAGTTCCTACAACGTCAGCAACCTCGCTAGCCGTTTCCTCATTAAATACTGATATCGCAAGCACTGCCTTAGCTACGATTACAGTTCCGACAGCCACAGCCACTGCAATCATAACTACCACCACAGATACTACAGCTACTACTACTAAAACTAGCACCACAACAACAACAACCCCAACAACCACCACAAAACCAAGAGTATTTAATTCAAACTTCTATTCATTACTTTAATTGAACTTTTAAATCCAGCAATGTCAATCGTCCTCTTGTGCGTACTACAAAAATGCATCAAAGGTCTGAAAATTTATACCCTTCAATAAAATGTTATGAAAATTCTGGAAAGCAAATTAAATTTTTTTCTTTTTTCTAAGAAAATTTCAAAACTATAATTTTGTTATTCTGTGAAGCAGGCCTTAAAATCTTCGTCGGTTTCTGGTAAGAAATAATTTTTTTGAATAAAATTAAAAAAAAATTCTTCTTCATTTGTAGAACCTTTGGGACGTTACGTAATCGCCTCAAGCACGATGTTTTTTGTTACCACTGCTCTCGTGAGTTCCTAAATTTATTTAAATTATTTATTTGAATTCCACGCTGCAAATCGGTAGAGCACATTAAATGACGCAGTTGTTAGTTGTTTGCGCAAAAGCATGGCCGTAATTGCTGTTCCCACGACAAGTGATATGGAAAACTATTTGAAATTATGGAAGAGTATAATATGATCAGGCTGTGTCGAAACTGGAGCTTCAATTTCCGTTTCAATTTCGTAGAAATCACCGGCAGCACTGTTAATTATTGGACTTCGGGGGCAAATGACGGAAGTTCTTGCGAAGTTGAAAAAGTGTATACGTGGTGTGCGTCAAATTTGACCGTGGCACCTGATGACGTCACCATGCAAAAATACTGGTCCATTGCCAAAACGTTTAACGCAACCACAGATCGTTGCATTGCAATCCAATTCAATGCCACGTCAGCGAGTATTTACTTCACAAAATGCGCGAGTAGAATGGCCTACGTTTGTGGGGTAGGGTTTTATAGATTATAAAAAAGAATAAGTACTTACAACGTTATTGAACTTCCAGCCTTCGTGCAAACAACCGACGTGCCCTCAAACCTGCAAAACAAATGTGAATTAAGATAAAAATCAAATGAAAGACCTATTCTGATAAAAAAAAATTATATTATTCTCTCTTAGGATTCACTCTTTGCAGCAGACGGGTCAATCAAGGGTATTTTTATATTGTAAATATATTAATCAAAATTTTTCAAATGTAAGTTTATTTCAGAACCTTCTAAGCATGGGTACTTTGCCACAATATGTGGAATCAAATACTTGTTTGGAAACGCAATTGTAGCATTAGGTGTGGAATTTTTCTAATTTTAATTTGTACATTATTTATTGAAGGGAACGTGGAGAGACAATTACGAAAAGTGCTGCAGCTTGGGCATGGCTCCAATTTTCATTGAATCTGCTCAAGAGCAAACTTGCTTATCAAAATTCACACGAAGTAAAAACAATTTTAAAAATTTTAACCAACACATTCGATTGATGCTTTAAATGAAGACAACTGGACGTACAATTTCAATTACTGGACAGCTGGCACGCAGCAAGGGTGCAGAGGTCGATGGTCATGGTGCTCTGGGGCTGGACTTTTAGATTTGAACGACAGCCTTACTTGGTCCTCGGCCCAGCCAGACAACAAAGCGGGAAATGAGGAATGTCTGCACATGAGACTTTTTCAAAACTCTTCAGGAGTAGTCTTGTCTGATCGAAACTGCTCTGACAAATATGTGATTGCTTGCAAAGTGAGTTTAATCAGTAAGTACATAATTTTTAATTTATTTCAAAGGGGCAGCCAAAGATACCAACATGCCAGCAGGCAAAGTGTCCGAGTTACGCTTGTGAAAAAAAAGTTAATGTTTTGCTTCAATTAAATAAAAAAAAATTCATTGTTTGTATCATGATTTTCCAGAATTCACTATTTTATGCTGACCAATTATATGGTATATTTTTTTCAGCAATAGTTATTTATAATATAATAATGAATCTCTTTTCAGGGTACTCTAATTATGGAAGTTGGTTTAGCAACTGCGGAAGAACATTTTTATTTTCAAATTCAAAAGTAAATTATTAATGTGAGAATTGCTAAAATACATATTGCTGATAATTTTCAAAGGCAAATTGGTCTCGCGCTTACAACGTTTGCTGCTCAATCGGAATGACTTTACTGGCAGTTGAGTATGGGGATAAGCACCGATGCATTTCAAACTTTGTCAAGAGTATCTCAATATCTCATCTTTAAAATTCAATCATATATATTAAAAACGGTTTTATTTAAAAGTCTCGCCTCAAGTTAATGTTGATTTTTGGACGTCTGGGACTGATAAGGAATGTGACGATTGGTACAGGTGGTGCTCGATCGAGCGAGATTTCCTCTCACGAAATGTGAATTGGAAATCTGGCGAACCCAACAGCAATAATGGTGATTGCGTGTCTATCAACTTTTCCAACGCGACAGCCAATCAAAGCACATTTTCTGTAACCAACTGTTCTAAAGAACTTCAATTTATTTGCGAGGAAAGTGCTTTACTTCCAAAACTTACATCCTGCATGAAATTGCAAAAAAATTACAGGTGCGAAATTCTGGGACTACGTCCGATGCTTTGCAAAAAGAATGCATGGATATTTGGAATGTCAGCTCAAGTAAAATATTTTGCATAATTATATATTTTTTTAATTTGATATGGATTATTAATTTGCAGCTGATATGTTAGTATTTGTAGCTGCTTATAATGCATCAGAAATACAGCTCAATCTAAAAGTTCGGCTATAAAATGAAAAAAGATGAAGTAAATAATTAAAATTTACAGTGTTTCATCAAGTGCATAGGAGAAAACTTAAATATGGTTTGAATATTTGTTGATATCATGAGGGAAAGTCTTGAATTAATCTGAAATTTTGGGGTTGTAAAAAATTTGATCATTTGTTACTGATGCTTTTTAAAACGGAATAGTTTTCGTTGGGTGGTCTTCCACCGTCTGGTGACTTGTTACGTTTGATAGAAGACATCATTGCTGAAGATGATGAAGTTGGTCTGCAAAGTTCTTTCAATACTTATGATGCGTGCAATTCAATAAGTTAAATATTCAAATTAATTTTCATGATTTCCCAATTTACAAATTATATATTCAGGATACAATGACGAATGTATAACGGCTGCAAACATTTACCAATGCGGAAGGGATAATGCCCCTGTTGTAACAAGCACAATTTTCAGCAGCAACTTGGGCAACAATTCAATTGTATTTACAATAATTATGATTATGAGTGAAAGTCTTAAAAAATTTGGTAAAAACTATTTCCAGTACAATCCCCCTACGCCATGCATTGGGACGCGTTTTCGGCAGTGCAGAACACTTGATCGTCCTTGCATTATTAACGTAATAATAATCTTACGGAAAATATTATTGTATCTCTCTTAAAATATTTCGTCAGCTATAAAAGGTTCTTTTATTTTTGAAAGGAACTTCAAATATTGAAGAAAATTATACAAACGTGGTCATTTATTCTGATTTAGACGAACCACTGCCATATTCTGAATAAAAATTAAAATCATTATTAATTAATTGCTTTTTTAACAAATTGGTTTTTTTATGAAATTGCTGTTGATGCAGATTTGTGATCAATAGTAGCTCTTGCTCGTGAAACTTCCGAGTTTTTTGTGCAATTTACACGATCGTCTTCAGTTCACATTTTTTTACTTTTTATTGAAAAAGCCTTGTTTGTGTAATATCAGAAAAATGGGGATGTATATGTGCTATGTTAATTTAGCATTATTTTTAGCTTTCTTAAATGTGCTTTTGATTTTGTATAATTATGTTGTCTTCTGCCACTGCTAAATAGTCCTATTCAGTATTTTTTCTGGTTGTAGTTTTAATTTAAATTTGTTAGGCACTATCTGCAGAGGAACATTGCTGACAAAATTCACGTTAGGAAAGACCCAAAACCTGTTACACATTTAACAAATATTTTAACAATCATATTGAATACATAATAATTTGTCTTTATTTTTTAATTTTAATATAGAGTTCACTTGCCAACACCCTAAATCAAGATAAATCAAGTAATAATTTCTCGTCTCTTGTACAATTATTGATTCCATTCATTTTAGCACCATTAGGGCAACTTGTGGAGGGTGCTAACGGCACGAAGTATTTCATTTCCAGCAACTGCCCTATGCCCTATGTTTGCTTATAACTTTTTGATTAAATTCAGTACATGCAAATTATTTTCATGACCTTTCAGACATACCATCAGGCATATGACTACTGCTGCAGCATTGGAATGCATCTGGCTGAGACTGAAACAGTGGAAGAATTCTACGATCTTTGGAACCTTACTAAAAGTAGCATTCAATTAATATGTTTCATTTAAAATTATCTCGTATTTAACTGACATATTAAATAAGGTTGCGGAAGCTATGGTATTCTTGGTGAAACGTTTGCAAATGGTGATGGGACAGATTCCTGGTGCCGCTCGAAAAAAGTCATCCCTATCGACTTGTACTATAACAAAGTATACCCAGAACCAGAATGCGATAAAATTAACTGCATTCTAGTCGACTTTTACGAGCCAACGACTCCATTCTTTAAACCCTTTGTTTCTCAAATAATCGGTCCATATTGTGAGTTGGATGACATTGCAAATACAATAACAGGCTACTTTGTTTGCAAATAACTAACATTTGTAAAACATTTTGAATTTGAATTTAATACTACAATTTTTTAATTGCATGCTTGCAATCATTGCGTTGATTAAGAAAATTTTTCATTTTTAAATATTGCTAGTGGAATTTTTTAACACAATTTTTAGGACCATATGAAGAACTTAAAAGTATTTTGAAATTGTTGAAACAAAAATGATTGTCCTGTGGCAGTTACTTTACAATATAAGCAGTCAAAATAAACTGTGTGTATTTATCCCATGGAATCAATCTATCAGGTATATTGAATTTACTCTTTGCTCTCCTACAATTTTATCATGCATAAAATTAGAAAACCTCGTTTTGTTTCCTCAAGAATTGCCTAAAAGATGTAATTTTAAGATGAAAATTCATTGACGTAAAATTGTTTTTTTAAGAAGACATTCTTCCTAGCTAACCTGTATGTATAAATAAATAAATAAATAAACCATGTATAAATTATGAAATTATACTTTCATTTGGCAAATTTCACAGCATAATGAGTAGCGAAAAAGCAGCGCTTAATTACTTTCGCTCCGCTTGAGGTGAATGCGAAAGCAATCTGACAAAATGAGAGCGGCTTGGAGCGGACGTACCGCACCAGACGATTTGCTCCTCGTCAATAAGCGATGTGAATAAAAAAACATTGCTTGGAGTGTGAATTCAATTGTGTTTGTGCATTGAAGCAAGCTCTTTTCCGAACAGATGCTGCTGACGTTGAAACGAAATAAATTCACATAATATTCGGGTTAAATGCTTTCCTGTAATGTTTATGGGAAAAAATATACAACCTAATGAATTTTGTGCCGTAAATTTGCAGTGTTGTTAGCAGAAAAGCAATTAGCGCAAAACTTTTTCAGAGTTAGAGGTATTTTCATACTCGCTCGCATTGTTATTGGGCTGCTATTCAATAACTTTTGCTCGCTCGCGCGCAGAATATTTTCCACAGCTGCTTTGTCTCTTTTTGCTGCAATGGTACTCGATATTTTTCTTTTAAAAGCCAACGCGTGTGTTTTGCAGTGTGTCATTATACGCATCAGCCGCACCGAGCGCGGAAAATGCAAAATTTTATATCGGTTTTCCAGTTTTTGCTCTTCAGTTGAAAAAGCAACCGGATGATTTTAATGAGGCTCATCGCATTCTTCCAGTTTTTCAAAAGGCTTATCCTTTTTTAATCTTAGCTATTTTCCGAACGGACCAGCAGGATTTGCAAAGCGGATCATTTCGTCAGTTTTGAAATCAGAGACACACGTCGACAGACAGCCTTTGTCTGGCAGCCATAAGCGGCCCCGCATACAGACAAGCTTTGATTTCCCCCGAGTCATAAACATATAGTGGTCCTCGGCACTTGCAGCCTTGTTCTCCATCTCTTACTCAAACACTCCCTTTGTATATTTCAAGCGTATCAAACGCACACACTCGCGCATGGTCTTCCTCAGCCTATCCTGCAAGACCGTTTTATTGCAAGAGAAAAGAACGGACAGGATGTTTGCATAGGCGATATCACTTGAGCTCTATGATAAAAATGAGCAGTTCTGTTAGAGTAAATACAAATCACAAAAATGATATTTCTTTCCAAAATTTTTAAATTAGATTTTTCTTATTTTTAATATTTGAGAAAAATTAGAAATGAAAAATTAACTTTTATCCACTAATAGTTTTATAATTATTATTTAGTTACATCAAATCTTTTGTTTGTTAAATTATCAAAATGCCAATTGATTTTCGTACTAAGTGCAGGTACGATATTTCCAATAAATCAGAAGATAGATAGATGTATATTACGTAATAAAAAAATCAGTCCACACTTCTCTCTGGAGAGACGATGGAAGGAGATTTCGTATCATAGCATTATAAATAAAATCTTCAGAGTGGACTGATTGTGAGTTATGCGCTCAAAATGGTACTTCAACAATCAGATTACACCAATACCACTATATTAAATGTAAATGTAAATTTTCATTTGACATTCCCGTAGAGCTTCCGGCCTTTCTATTGCCATAAAGCGGCTGGCAACATCGGATATTTGTTTTCGCTCAACCTTGTGACACGTGGCGGCGGCATGTAAATTTATTTCAACGCAATTAAATGCAAATTCGCCTTTTCGGAGGGCAAGCCCGCGGAAAATGCCGTCGAGAGCAAGCAAGAGAGCGAGCGAGCAAACACAATAAATAAACAGACACAGGTGCTTGAATTTTTCGTCTGAATAATTCAGCATCATATGTGTGCGGGCTATGCACCCCGCGGATGTGTGTTACGAGAACGTACATCTGCAACATTGCCGGGGCAAAAGCCGGGAAAGTTTGTGCAGCAGAGCAGGTGCTGCAGCGGCTGTGTCAGAGACCGAGATCGTATATCAGATTTACGAGAACTTTAATTCTTTTCCGTTCTGGACACGAAGAGAAAACAACGCACAAAATAGCGAGAAAGTTACGACGCGTCGTTGATGGTAGGAAGAGGCAACAAACGATATTTCCGGCCGTTCTTGTTAAATTGCGATCGGAGAAGGAATTTCTCTCTGTCCGGTCTGTCCTCTCGAGTTTAAGTGGCAAGGTTGGCCGGAGGGCGTCAGAGGACACTCGACGAGTAATTTGACCCGCGGGAGCCGTGACTGCGATTGCAGGCATAAATTTCGTCTCGTCCCACTTTCTGGCCAAGGTGCTCGTATGTTGGCCTAAAAGGATTCGCCCTTTATTAAAAGGGGTCTTTGTGCGGAGAAATGGGATTTTTAATTGCGTGCCTTGGCCAATTAAGGGGCTTTTCCTTCCTTCCTGCCAGCAACACAGATTGGACGAATTTTTGCGCGCGGGCGGCGAAAGCGCATGAGACAAAAACGTGGCAATTTTAATCACCTCTAGTCGATTTGCATAATCGAGTTCAGCGAGGCGGAAGCAAAGAGATCTGGAGTTCATTAGTTAGCTCGCGCAATAACGGTTTCAAGGGGGATGGAATCGCCTTGAAAAAAGAGAGACCGCGAGAGACAAGCCTTGAAGAGAGATTTGGCTCCAGAAAAGGCACAAAAAATAATTTTCCAAAAAGTTTTTCTTTCAAAATATTATATAATATATATTTTTTTCTATTAAAGGATCTATTTAAAATTTAATAAAAATTAGCTTCTTGAAAACAAATGCTAAATTCTTGGAAAAAATAATTTCTCAAAAAGATTGTGGAAAAAATTAATACATATTTATCTTACAGCTTTTGCACAAAAATGTCAACAAAAATAATATTTTGCTTGAAAATATTCTTCAATAATATACATTCAATTTATAACGAACCTTTAAGAATCAGAAAGCGCCTCTCTCTTTTTCCTGGGGATGTTCTTCTTGCCTCTAACGAACGTGACCTCCTTATCCTTCGCCTATCAGCTTATTAGCAGACTTAATTTGAACGCTAAAGACTCGACAGGATAAAAAAGAACTTGTTCAGGCGTACCGAGCAATTCGCACAACACTTTAATTTTATTACCGCGAGCTAGCAGCTCGTTTGCACAATTTACCCTTTTAATGCTCTTTTGGCTCTCACGGAGCGGCCGGCGGCGTTCACTTTTCAGCCCCATTTCTCTTCTTCGGCGGCGCCAACGAGGGAATTTGTAGAACTGTGTAAATTCCGAATGGGAAATCGATAAGCGAATAGTGAGGCTGATAAGATTCGATCTACTTTCGACGTGACGAAAAAGCGTGGCTTGTAAATGGCCTGGAATAAAACTTTGTATCCCCCTGTATTTAGATTTTCATCTGAATAACGGGGTGAAGCCGAGAGATAAAACAAAACACGGATTTCAGGGAAACTTTTACTCGTTTTGAAGAAACTGAGTCGTTGTCAATTCGAAAGTAGGTTCAAAGGACTTGCGCTTGTTTGGCGAAACTAATAAAGCGGAGGCGAGCGCGAAATTAAATTAGAGGACCGCAGAGCTAACAAGTGCACGTCGCTCGCTTTTCCACGAGTTTTAGTCAGGAGGAATAAATTTAGCAGAAAAGCCTCCGAGGGATCTCTTAACACTTTAAGCAAGCACGCGGAGCTTAGTTCTCAGAATCCTCTAATTGGCACAATCATTCCACTCGCCTACGAGGGATTAAGAAGACAAATCGCGTATAATTTGCACCAGGCCTAAATTTAGACGCTTTCAATCGTAACTTTGAACCTGTTAATTAAGAATTTAAACAAAACCCTTTAAATAAATGTTGAACTCCGCATAATAACCAGACTATGAGCAATAATAATTGCTCTCGGTGAAACCGGTTATTTTTCTCTTTGTTTCAGCAAAGTGCTAAATCACGCTCAGCCTCTTCTCTTTACTTCGTTTTTGTTCGCCAGAAACAAAGGCCAGCCAGGCTCATTATTATTGTTTTGCCACGTCTGTATACGGTTGATATCCATCTCGGTACATTACACTGGCACACTCTAGTTGAAAAGGAGAAGAAGTGAGCGACGTGCCGTAATTAAATCCCCTAGCTCGCGCATTGTGCGAGACGAAATAACCAAATTTCGGTGCACACCAATTTATCATAGATCTAATTTACCGCGTGACCTCAAGAAACGCGCAGGTGTTACATGAAAGGGGACGTTCTTTATCGGCAACTTTTATAATGTGCTGACAAATCACTTCGCGATGAATTATCGATGCCATTATTGGGCGAAACTTTTTCCGCGCCCCACTCTTTCGCTGAGCGTTGTTCGATATATTTCCCACGGGATGCGTTATGTGTGCAGCTTCCGAGATCGATTCATTGCATCGTTAATGGACACGTATTTCAAATTGAGCGTGAATTATGGTGTTTCCGATAAAATGAGCCAACGGTGCGATTATTGCAGAAAATGATAATGCACGGAAACGGTTAATAGCAATGCATTTGGCCTGGACTATATACATGACCTAAATAAGTTTCAAACGTCATTCCGCCCTAAGTGCTAAAGAAAAAAGAACAAAAATGTTTTATAAATTTCAATGATAATGAACGAAAAATTAAACTAAATGCTGAAAAACCTTAAATTTCTATTACAGCTCTGTGGTACTTAAATTTTATTTTTATCATAGCATAGTAATTTAATTAAACATTACATAATTTTCGCCGCCCTTAGACATATTCAAAATCAGGTCTTTTATATTTTAAAATGAAAATTAGGAAAATAATTTTTATTTATAAAATTGATGCATTGCTTTATCAACTTGTGTTTAAAGTAAATATGGGCATTTGAACAAATGAAATGAGATTTATAGAATATCGTTTTGCAATTTCAACAATTGCGAGAACGGTGTGTTTGAGGCTCGGCAGGCTCGGACAGTAATTTTCATCAAGTCCATTTGTTCATTTGGACAGTGGCACTGCAAACATCATCACGCACAGCGCCGGGAATCGAGCGCGCTCGCGATGAAAAGTCGTTCCAGCGTCCTGCACACCCACTCTCGCAGTCAACACAACGCGCGTCAGCTCTCCAAGTTTTGACATGCGGCCACCGTATTTTATGTATTTGGTTAGTCCCTGTGCAAAGCGAATACACTCTCACCAGGTTTGCTCTCGCCGCCGCCACAGGATTAATTTATTGTGTGCGGTGGTTTGGGCGAAACATCCACCAGCAGCTTCCTTGCATTTCAAGCAAGAGGAAATTTTGGCAGCAAATTTTCGGCTCAACAAGGCGGCCAAAGCTTAATTGCCCAACAAGCCTTGATTTCCCAGAAGTCGGATTATCCAAAGATGCTTATAATTAATTGGTATCAAATTTAATTAATTCCTGCAAATTAATGTCTAATTATTGAAATAAAACATCAAAGCAAATAATGACGGAGTAGTAATTTGAGACTTTTTTAAGACCTCTTTGCAGAAGTAACAATCTTATTTGTTTGCTGCTAGAGCTATTGTTGCGTAATAAATTTCATTATTGACTTCTTAGAAAATCATTTTATTTGCAAAGAAAGTGACTGGGCTTTTTTCCAATTTAGGTATTGTTTTTGATTGAAAATCAGTTTCCTCGAAGATCCATAAACTGCAGGAGAAAAAATTAACAGTTTAATTTCTACGAACTTCCTATTTTTCATTTTATCAAATTTTAAATTATAATATTTGGTAATATTCTATGAAAAATTACTCACAACTAGAAATTATATATATTTTTTTTTAATATTTGGAAAGAACCTTCTTCAATAAAAATATTTAAGTTTAAAAAGTGTCTACTAAAAAAAAAACTATTTTTTTTCGCCAGTATGGCAACGCTTAAATTATATGATTTTTTTAGAAAAAATAAACAATGAATACATTAAATTGTTAAAATTTTGTATACTTACAAAAACAAATTATCCCAGATTTCTCCCTCCAATCGGTAAATCAGTCCAAAAAATCTGTAAAAGTGTTTGACATTTTAATATGCATGCTAATGTGTGCAGCTTGGATGGTGCGAATAACGAGCGAGTCGCGTGCCTTGCGCGTTATTTATTGCTCCTCTATCGTTTTATGATAATAAAGCTAACAGAGCAACCATAAAATTAAAATGCCTCGCAGCCAAAGGACATAAAGATGCTGAGAGACAGCGAGAGAGGTCCTTTTTTTCTGCCGAGTGTAGTAGCAAAAATACATAATGTAAGAAAGAGGGCTTGCCAAAAAAGCGTCTCCACCTCTCTGGGGAGCAGCGCCAGCACAAAATGCATTATCTCAATCACTTTTTCGACCTTCTTCTTCTCTCTCGTGTGTGGGGCTGCCAATCGATACGGTGCACGCGCGAAGGGACAAATAAATATTGACTCTCAATTAAGGAAAACATTCGGCCGGACACAAATGAGGGCGATTCAATTTTTTGCCCTTTTTTCGGAGATTCCGGCCGTTCTTTTTGCGAATCTGGGCCGCAGATGGAATCAGCATGTCGGACAGACCGGCGTTTTCGCTTTTTGCTCTGGCTGTGCAAATGTGCAGGGTCAGGGAGGTGCTATTCGTCATCGTGTTCGCCACTTCCGCCACACAGACTCCGGCCGGTCGGTCGGTCGGCTGGGTCGCTCATCATTCTTTACGGCCTTTGCTATCCACTTTAATACGGCTTTGTCTCTTTATTGAGTCCCAGAAGCTTTTGGCCGAGGGTTTTGGCCTGATTGGATTTGCTCCACTCTGTTTATTTGATACAAAATATGGAGCCGGCCTTTCTCTGGTGGGAGAGAGAAAGGGAAAATATTGGTACGGCGGTGGCCGGGTATTTTTCCGCGTGAGAATAACGCGATTACACGTTTGGGCTTTTGTCAAGGAGAGAAAGAAAGTAATGGTTTTTCATGTTCCATCGAAAAAAAAAATGCTCTGCTTTTTGTGCGTCACGTCAATGTATGTGCGTTACACGGAGTTATCTTGCCTGTACTCTCTTGGGCCGTGCTAAAAATTAAATGTCCGTCCTGATAGAATTGAAAAATAAACAAAATCTCCTGGGACAGAACATGAGGTTTATTCACCATAAAATTTATACCTGACAGCGACAAAACAAGATAAAAAGAGCTTTGCTGTATGCTAAATGTTTTTGAACTCATAATGTGCTGTGAAACCGGTTTGTATTGAAAAAATTCACAGAAAATCAAAATGAAAGCATTCGTTCACAAAAACATGTACATTTAAGAACTTTAAGATATAAAATGGCTTGAATTAGTAAAAAATTTCACGTATTTTTCTGTTGTCCTGCATTGAAAATGAATAATACTTGAACATCATAAAATTATTATTATATCAAATAAATTTATATAATACACTCATCTATTTTGATTTCATATCACATTATAAACTAAAAGGAGCAACGTTTCTGTGATTGTAGGTCGCAAGATTGAATCATAATTAAAATTTAACTATACATTTTTAATTTAATTTTCTTAAATATCCATGTTATATTTTTTGGTCTACTTTGGCAAAACCAGAATAAACAGTCTATATCCATCAATTCATTTGATTTCGGCTTAGACACGTTATTTAGTAAATTTGAATACAATTGCAGCACTGAATCAATTTTCAAAATTTGAATGGTGATTGCAATGAAACATGACTGTACTTTCCTTTCAGTACGTTTTGAATTCACACTTCGTTTTAAATCACATTGAGCAAAATTCCTGCTAATTTCCACATATTAGAAAGTCTAGAAAATTATCCATTTTTCAGGCTGAGATATATATTAATTACAAATAGATTAATTTATAAGATGGAAATGTGAAAATAAGCTCTCTGTGCTATGTTGAAAAAATTATATCTGGTGAAGATTTAATTGTGAGTTCACCGCGGCGGCCGTGTCTCTTTTGATGTCGGGCGTTTTAGCAGACCTCTGCTAGTTGTGATACCCTTTCTGCTCATTTTTCCAATTTCAATTTTTTTTGTATGACTTGAGTAGAATAAATAATAATAATTTTAAAACATAAATACAAGTAACAATGGAAAAAAATAAAGCCAAAACGAAATGTGAAATATGAGTGTTTTGCCAGTCGGAAAGATTCATTGACTATAGCTCCATTCAGAGACTTCTTCGCTCTCACAGCACTAATGAAAAATCGCTCACGAGGAAAAGCAGAGTAGCATGAGTGATCGCACCATCAATTTGTCATCAGCGGCGGCCCATCGCGTCTCATATTTCATCCAGTGCAAAAAACGAGAAGCACATTCGGCTCCGAAAAGTGACGCGATTCAGCTTTTAAGCTTTTTACGCCACGTGTGTGTGCGCGGTAATGATCTCCTTGATGTGATGTCATTATCTAACTAAACACACAGATTCCGGCAAACAATGTGGGCTTTCTACTTTTTCTGCTCACGGGGAATGCTCGCGAGGGGAAAATCGCTTCAAGTGCAAATTCATCATACTTTTTCTTTAAACTTAAAAAAGGTTGAATAAATCTCGCTTTAATCTCTGATGTGGAATTCTTTTGTTCTCAAAAAAACCCTGCTTTTAGTAAAATGCCGCCAAAGAAGGTGAATCGGCTCGCAAAGTCTCGTTAGCTTTACTAATGAGCAAAAAAATTTGCAAGGTCGTTTATGTACTACTTTCCGAAACAACCCCCCACACATTATTTCGCACCCAACACGTTCGTTAAAGCTAATGGCGCTTTCTTTCTTTTTTTCTCTCGCAGGGCAGAGCTCTTACCGCTTTTTCTAGCTTCCATTTCTTTCGGCGCGTCTTCGCTATTGTCATCAATTTTTATCACAGGCTGTTTTCCCCCTGAAGAGATTTTAAACGCGCCGAGGAAAATTGCACAATGGCTCCGAGAGTGCACTTGTCTCTAATGAAACGGCCGCGCCCTACATTTTGCGAATGTTCGGAATGCATGCACACCTGCATCGCCATCGGAGGTTAATAAATTCCGACTTGGATCTTTTATGGGCTTCAATGCGGCGGACACCACTGTAAATGATCGGAAACAAGTAAGGCGTTCCATTGCAGCCGGCAGACATACACTCGTTGGTTTTTGTATAATAAACACACCATAATAAAAAGATCCTCAAAATTTTATTAATTTAAAAAAAAATTATTAAATTATGTGATTTATTTGTTTAAAATCACTAAATATTTCGAAAAATAACTTTATTTGGATTTTTGGTAGGATGTCAGGGGAGTTTTCTTTTCTTGGATGAAAAATACTTATTTTTGAAATTAATTAAAATTTATTTTAGAAACCTATATAATTCCTAATTTGTTAACATAATTTTAAGCCGGATTTTTCTTTTAAAATTACTAAGAAGTTGAATTGATAGAGAACAATCTTCATATAGCTATGCTTACTTTGCATGTTTAAAATATTAAACATGATATTTAATTGTGCTACAGCTGCCACAATTGGCAGTTTGATAATATTTTTAAATCGTTATCGCAAATAATTATGAAATTGTATTATTTTAACTTTGTTTACCCGCAATAAAGGCATGAAGTAAATTGCAGTTAAAAGGAAGCAATGAAATATTGAATTGGAAGTGAATAAAATCCACCAGCCTTCAAATATGGCTCGTCGTCGCAAGAGGAGCGCTCAGAATTTATCCTGGTATGCGATGAACGAACGGGCCTTTGTATGTGTGACGAGGACTCTTTTTTTCTTGCTGCACGGCTTGCTTGGCAGCACCGCGTGCAGCATCTCCATTTAGTGTTCACGTCTCGGTTGGCATTAATACATGCAAATTACTCCCAGCTACATGTAACCCCTTTTTCTCCTCGCGCGCCACCCTGGAACACATTTTAAATTCGCTGCTTTCATGAGGTGCTTTCCCATTAGGAGCAACTTTACTTTTTCTCCATTTTTATTTGAATTTTCTGCGCCGTCATAAATTAAAAATTCCACTGATTCCAAAAGAGCTGCTTCCGTTTAGTACAGTGATCACCAAGTTGAATTAAAAAGGATTGAATAATAATTTCTTGAGTAAATACAAGTGCTAAAGGCAATTATAAAGAAAAGGGAAAAATCTAGAAAGGCGATGTTCCGTAACAGCTGAGATCATTCAAAAAGTATGAAAGCAGAGCAAAATGCAAAATGCCTTTTTCATTGCGAAACTTTTCTTTTTTATTCCGTGGCTTAGAAGGTAAATTCTTGCTGCGCCAAGAGTTACGTCGCTAATATCTTTAATCTTTTTAAATTTCATAATAATCTCTAAAAATTACAAAATAAGAAACCTATGATTGATGTTGAAATAAGATCAACAATTAATATATTCCTCTATAAATATCAAACGAAAATTCGGCCACAGTCGGACAACAGTTTACTTGAGCTTTCCAAAAATGTATATTTTGTGTGGGCGAGAAATGCTAGACTCATTTTTAAACAGCCTCTTGACCGTCCCCTTAATATAGATCCAGATTTCCAAAATGTTTCTTGTTCCTTGATTTATATTATTTAATTTTTTTATTTTGGGGTTTAAAATTTTTCATTCAAATTAAAGAGCAGCTAAAAGAAATTGGAAAATGTGTGAATTTCATGTCAGAAATTGGAAATAATTAAAAGTAACAACATTAAACATGAAGCCTCTGCTTTCAATTTGCAGAATTGTCAGTGCAAATCCAGAAAATTAATAATGAAAGAGAATTTCAAACTAAGGACACATCCAAAGCAGTTTCCTTCCACGATTCGTCACCATTACGGCCAGAATTAAATGAAACCACCCTTCTCCTGCACTCTCGAAATCAATCTCCGGCTCTCAAAGCGAGCGAAGTCTCGCTTTCAGCCTTCGTCGCAGATTGTTTGTTTGTCTGCGAGTATGAAATGTGTCAGTTGGCAAAAGTCTCCTGATTGCCGCGTTGCATGCCGTCGGATTGATTGATAGCGCCATGGTCGCGCGCGCGATAGAGCCGTCAAGCGTTGGTTCATTCAATCGGCCGTAAAACCAGCTCAGCACTCGAACGCTCGCTGTT